AGAGGGAGGAGGGACAGAGAGGGGGAGAGAGAGAGAGAAGGAAAGAGGGGAAAGAAAAAAAAAGAAAAGAAAGGGAGGGAGGGGCTAATTCTTAAAAACTGGGCAGACATCAAAAGTCGGAAATTCATAAAACACATGAATAAAAACTAAAAGTTGGAGTAACTGACTTGGGGCGCAGCCTTCCCACGCCCATGTGCCAGCACCACGAGTGAGGGCGAGCGTCAGGGGAGTGGGGCCACGCATGGGGCGTGCACGAGGGCATGGCTCGCGCTCTGCAGCCACACTTCAGAGTAGCCTGAAAAGCGCCGCCTCCCTGTGAGGGACCAGCAAGGATTATTAAAATACCAACATTCTTTTTCTTTCTTTCCTTTCTTCTATTTATTTTTTTGAGATGGGATCTCACCATGTTGCCCAGGCTGGGCTGGAGCTCTCAATCCTCCTGCCTCAGCCTCCCGAGTAGCTGGCTCAGAAGGGTGCGCCATTGCACCTGGCAAACAAACTACTATTTGGAGTCTTAGAGAAGCAACTCACTTGCAGTGCATGAAGCTGACAGAACACTGGGTCTGATCACCACTACTACTCTGAGGCAGGCGGGGAGACTACTCAAGTACTATGCTCAGTACCGCACACTGAGAAAGGCTTCCCAAGTGAGCCAGTCGGCGGCAGGTGCTGCCAAAGCTACAGGAAGCTACCGGGGCTGCCTTCTGCCTCCTGCTAGTACTTTGCCAACCTTCGAAAGTAACAGAATAAACAGAAACAGGAGTGGGAAGGATTCGCATGTCCCACACATCTGTCTGGGCTCTGCAGAGTTGGGAGGAAGAACCCCGGTTCCCGTCAGGGGATGGGGGCGCCTCCGGGGACCTGCACAGACCGTGCTCCCACCTGTTTCCTGGTGCCCACATCATCTGGCCTGTGGTGAAGGGAACCAAGTGTTCTCTCTCCACGTGACACCGCTCATGGCGGGCCACAAAGCCCACACAGCACGGGGGCACCCTAATCCACATCAAATAGCACGCCTTTGTTCTCCTGAGTCCACAGACTGAAGACTGAAACACGCAGTGCTTCCAGTAACGCCACAGTAACAGTCCTTTTAGACTGAGGGGAGGGACAGACCTAAACAACAGACCTAATGGAATTTAAAAATTACTGCCGTAATAGCTGTTTAAAAATAAAAGGTACCAGCTGGGCGTGATGGCGCACGCCCGTAAACCCAGCACTCAGGAAGCTGAGGCAGGAGGATCGCTGTGAGTTCAAGACCAGCCTGGGCTACATAGTGAGTTTCAGGTCAGTCTCAACTACATAGTGAACCCTGTCTCAAAAAAGAAAACAAACAAACAAAAAGAAATAAATAAAAGGTACCACTCATTTAATGATTAACTGGAATTGGGATTGAACCCAGGACCCTCACACTCAGCTATACTCTGAGCCCTTCTTTTATTTATTATTTTGAGACAGGGTCTCACTAAATCGCTAAGTTGCCCAGGCTGGGTTCAAACAGGACCCTCCTGCCTCAGCCTCACAGGTGCTGGGATCATAGGCAAATGTCAACACGGCCAGCTCGTCATTACTCAGTTTTAAACCACATGACCTTGAGGTCTTCTGTTTCCCTAGCATCTGTGCTAACAGGACAGCTTATCTGCCAGGATGCTAACAGTTCAGTAGATTTCGGGTATCAGACCATGGGTTCTGCAGGTAACAGGCACCGTGGGCCTTTACAACTACAACTGTGTGAGCCCAATTCAAGCCATAACAAACAACTGAGGCTCATACTGAAGTGCTAGATGTTACCTACCAATATCTTTGCATTTTTCAGTTGATCACAAGGAGACAAACAGTCTTTTATACTCTTTCTCTGAGAACAGTTTTGAGATTTTTCGGCCAATGAATCTTTCTTATACTCCTCATTTTTTAACTGTTCGGATTTTTTGCATTTGAGACCTTCATTATCTCTACTGAGATAATTCTCCATGCTATTAAGTTGAGTATTTTGCTCATATTTCTTCAGCTTTTTTGAGACTTTATTTGAGCAATTATTTTCATACTTGTTCAAATATTCAGACATTTCCAACATAGTAACTTTCACATTTGAGTGAATTTTTTTTGAGTTATCACACTGGAGATTATCAAAGGATTCCGGGTTATAGCGGTCACTGCTTATCACCTTCCCTTCATGCCCATTCACGCAGGTCTTCTTGTCAGTACTGCTGCGGTCTGAACACTGCTCACCAACGCCCATGCTGCTGTCTTGCTTCTTACACCGTGACCCCGAGAGTATGCTCTCCAATCTGCTGGTGGCGCCTAAGTCACGGCCTCTGCACTGGCACACGTGTGGGGAAGCCAAGGGAGCTGCAGCTCTGTCCCGTGTCGCCAGACACGTGCTCTGGATGCCATCGTGGGAGCTGAGCTGGTGCTGAGTCCGCACGTGGGATTCCACGTGCGGGTCTGTGGAGGACTTTTCTGTACTGCCGCATCGGAAAGGACCACAGGTCTTGTCGGGTGGTAAGCCTTTTCCGTCCGTGCTGTCCCCCAGCAAGGGCAGTTTTGGAGGAGGAAGGGCAGAGGAGGCACTGTCCCCGCGCTTCTTCCAGGAGTGCTTGCCGGCACAGGAGCTCCGGAACACTTTGGAAGGAAGGCTGCTGGGGTCGCGTGGGTGGAGGGCGGGCCGGGGAGCGCGGGGGGCTGCAGGGTCCATGTGTTCCAGGTGCTGTGCGATCCTGGCGATCACGTCCTGCCGCTCCTGCAGCAAGGTGCCAATCAGAGGGTTTGCATCCCCAGCATCTCGGGGAGAGTGCAGACCGCTGGAGAGGCGAGTCTCGCTTCTCAGAGGCTCTGGTTTCCCTCGAATTTTTCCCTCAGTAGTGTCTTCTGTGGAACTGAACTCTGGACCACCAAAAGAAATGAAGAACGCATCTTTACATTTTCTCACATCATCCCTCTCCGGGGAAGCCTGGCACAGTTTCGGATGCAGGGCACTGGACTCCTGAGTGGCAAATGGGTGTGCGGAAATGTGGGAAGTGCTCGGGTCACAATGAATCAGGTGCTGAGCAATTCTTGCAATGACTTCTTGTCGGTCCTGGATTAAGGAGTCTATCAGAGGGTGCATCTCACCAACTGGCTGCCAGGAGCTCTGGTGGCTGGCGACGCTGGGATCCACCACTGAAAGCGATTTCCAAGTTCTCATGGACGTTTCAGGGGGTTTTATGTCTCCTAGGCCACCCAAGCCCAGAAGACCGGCCCGAGACGTCCCGAAGGGGGACTTCCTGCCTGAGCCTGAGGCTGGACATGGCCCACTGTCCCTGGTAGCTGCAGTGGGCTCTGGGGCTGGGCTACTTCTCACGTGTGGCACAACACTCTCAGGCCCCGTGGTCCACGCCTGCCTGCTGCACAGACGCAGCGAGCTGGTCGGACTGCACTGCTCTGCTTCAGTGGAACTGTGGTGCTGGTGTGCTTTACGCTCGTGCTCTTCAATTCTGTCCTCATAAAGGCCAAGGCTCGTGTGAATACTACAGCTCAAGACTGGGTAACTGGACTGTCGGGGTAGGGACTGAACGCTGACTTTCAAGGCCACGCTGTGAGAAACGTTGGGGACAGGAAACACGTGTTCGACTGGAGTCTGGGGGAAACGCCACTGCAGGTCTGCGTCAGCGGCACTGATCCTAGAGCCCAACAGAGAAGGACAGAGTCAACGGGTGTCAGAGCGACCCGAACCATCGTGCGGTTTCACACCGTGACAACCCCGTGCTCATCTATCTGCTCGGATTTGCTCTCAGCCACTTCACCATGCACGGAATGCTGCTAAAACCACTGCAAGTGAGGGTGCGACGGCTCATACGCCAAAGCGATGATCTTCTAAAGAACACCGTGACTGGAGCAGGAAAGCTCAGTATTAGAATTTTAAAATATCTGTCAAATAGAAAGAAAAAAGGACTTCCTATTTAAACGGGCTACGTTAATTTAGTGTGTTCAAATCTTTTGTCCATTTCTTGATTGGGCAATTTGATTTTTTTTGTCATTAAGTTTTTTTTTTCCGGTACCGGGGATCGAACTCAGGTCCTTGCACTTGCGAGGCAGGCGGTGGAACCACTGAGCCAAATCCCCAGCTTGGGCTATGTTAATTTAGTATGCGAGGTGATTAAGGGAAATGATCCTGTGTCCACCGGCCTAAACAGTCAATTGTCTGGCAGCCCCCGCGTGTGTGGGCGGCTCTCACTGTGTTGCCCGGCTGGCCTTGAGCTCCTGTCAGATGCTGCCCTGAGCAGCTGGGCCTACAGGCTCAAGTCACAGGGCCAGCTCGGTTTGCCATAACCGCCCAGAAAGTTTCCACTGTGTAATGGCAGCATCAGATCCATTCTTGGATCTCTAAAGTAAGCTTAAAAGTTCTCTGAATATTATTCGGTAAAAAATTTAACCCATCCAGCAAAATTCAGAGTCGGTCTAAACTTCTCTAACTTGTTCTAAGAAAAACTCTATTGAATGTGGTCCACTTGCATGAAGGCACGAAGGGATGAACAGTAGGGGCAGACATGGCTGCGCTGCCCTGCTCACCCAAGACGTACCTGTACAGGATGTTTCGTGGGACAGCACCGTGAGAGACACTCAGCCAAGCACTTAACTGGGAAAAGAACACGAACGAGCGCACGGCCAGCAGGAGAGTCTTCTCTTCAACGAACCGACCGCCACTCCTAAGGAAGCAGCAGCGTGTAGTCCAAGGTCAGCAAGTACAAAGTAGTGAATTTTAGGAAGAGAGAAGGTGAAATAAACCTACTGTCAGGATGCGTATTTTTTCTTTTCTTTTCTTTTTGGTACCAGGGATCGAACTCAGGAACTTGAGCTTACGAGGCAGGCGGCAGAACCACTGAGCTAAATTCCTGGCCCCAGGATGCGGATTTTCAAGAGCACAGAAATGCACTCACAGTGTCACCTGAAGTCACCATCACCTAATGTAAGTGCTAAACACCTCGATTTTACCGCACTAAATACAGGGATTTAAAGACAGCTACATGGTTGCGATGGTTTGTGGGGAGCAAGGGAAAACTCGCTTTCCCAGGAGTGAGTGACACCAAGGCGGAACACTTACTGCCGCGGCACTGGCTCCAGGACCCATCTCTCCAGCAGCAGGGCGTCCTGCTTGATGGCAGGGTCATTCAGATCGGCCCCTTCTGTGCTGGGCCCATCGTCGCTGTAGCAGCAGTCCGGGAGCAGCATCACCTCCACCATGACCGGGAGGTTGTTCTTCCACAGCAGAGTGACCTCAGACCTGGTTCGCCTGGCTTGGCGACACTTAGGAGAGAAGAAACATGGTAAAATGTGTTCATGCCCCACCTCGCTTTGGAGTCTAATGGTAAGGTAGTTATTGGTACAGTAAATGAGTTATTTATAGTAAATGAGCTTGCTCAGGCTTGGCTGTTTAGGTTTTCTCATTAAAGAATGCATTCGTGGTAGGAAGCTCTAGAATACAGGGATTAGTATTATTTATAAATTCACTTTTTATCATTCATGTTTTTATTTAGTGATGAGTGTTGTAATGCTTTACTGGGGGCGCGGGGTGTTGGTGGTACCAGGGATCGAACTTAGGACCTTGCACTTGTGAGGCAGGTGTGGTGCCACTGAGCTAAATCCCCAGCCCTTATGAATGAATGACAAGGTCTCAAGTCACTAAACTGCCTGGGCTGGAATTTGTGATCCTCCTGCCTCAGCCTTCCTGAGTATTGGGATTACAGACCATGCCATCAGGCCCAGCTCGAGTATTTGATCCCATTTTCTTGGGGAGGGTATCTTTGCTCTACCCTGCCACACACCATGTCTGACAGGTTTCAGAGTTGGTCGCATCTTGCCTAGTTGTTCATTTCATGGGAAAGATTAAATCTTAAATCTTAATACCAAATTATCAAAGACAATTTTTCATTAAATCCTCAAAATAGGCAATATGTTTTAAAGTTTAAAAATGTGGACTGCATCTGAGAAACGAATAACTGGGGGAAAACTTCCTAAGACAAATTTTATGCTACTGACCAAAATATTTTAGCAGTATTTTAAAAAAGCATTAATAATGAAAGTATATACTGATTTAAAAAATTATGAGGGAAATTCATTAATGTGGGGAAAATAATGATAACACCAACTTACTAAATCAACACTGCCACAAAGTGGAAAAGCTACGGCTGAAACTCTAAAATAAGGGAAATTAAATCACAACAGCAAGCCAGTCAGCCAAGGGCAGGAGAGGCAGAGAGCCTGTGGCTGTGCCCTGCTGAAGAACCGGTTTCTATTTAAATTTGAGTATCATAACTGTGATTTCCTAAAGGCTACAACACAAACCGGCTCACAGGACGGACAGAACCTGAGCCAGCGGCATGGGAGGCCGTGCTGGAGCCTGGCCACCGCTCACCTGGGCCAGCCGGTCGCTGCACTCATGTCGGGTGGCGGCTGGGTGACAGGATTGCGCTGGGGGGCAATGGGAGCTCTCTGTGCGCCCTTTCACGGAGCATTCCGGCGTCCGTCCTTCTGTTATGAGCAAGGCCAGAGAGACCAGGAACTCCTCTGCGTCATATTCAAAGTATTCATCCAAAGTATCTGGTGTAAAAGAGAAGGGAGTGCATGTCAGGTTCAAAGCGATCGGCATAGTAAAGCTCCCAGGGCCAGTGCTCCATGGCGAGCCACACTCCAGGCTCCAGCTATGAGCCCATCTGCAGCCACGGGAGTCCCTACCAAGAGCAAAAAGGGAAGAAAAGCCACATCATCAAAGTACAATGAACGCGTGAGTCACAAAGTACGCAGGATTTTAAGAAATGATAGATAATCCCAAATTCTACTTGAATAGAACTGGTTAAAATTACACCATAAAATTATTGTTTTCCCTCTAAACTGCAGTCTACTTAAGATTTAGGAATATAGGGCCAGGGATTTAACTCAGTGGCACCATGCCTACCTCATAAGCACAAGGTCCTGAGTTTGATCCCCTGTACCCCCCCAAAAGAGACTAAGGAATATATTTATTACCCTTATAGGTAATTCTATTTTTAAAAATCAGGTTCATGTTTTTTTTTTTTTTCACAGCCAGAAGGCGAAATCTGTATTATTACATCACGTGTTCAGCTATGGCATTCTATTGCTATTATTACAAAGAGAGGAAAAACACAGCTCCACTGTGTGCTTCTCCTTGTCTTCCTGCTTGACCGAAGCCGTGATGCGGACACAGGCACAGGGGCCTCTGCCTCTTCAACCGAGCACCAGTTTCAGAGGAGGCCATGCCGAGCTCGCACAAGGGAGGCCGACCCTGAGACGCAAGCTGATGTTTAGTTTGTGACGTGGTTCCAAACAATGTAACCCTATCTTGGTGTGACTTAACTGTGCTCATTTAAAAATTCCTCATCAATGCTCTGATTTTTAAAGTTAATTAAACAAAACCATTAACCTGGCACACAAGTTGGACACTCATGCACAAATGTACACACAGAATTTACTTTGCAGGGCAGTTTGGGGTAAATTCTCGTCCGTCACTTACACTCCCAGTGGCTGCTCTGTGCACCCAGTGACAGGACACAGACTGGAGAGTGCTTTCCCCGTCCCAGCGCCCTCAGGTCCTGGGACAAGCTTTCTTTAGTACATGTGCTGCCAAAGCGAGCACTTCCGGGGTGATCCTAAGGGCAGACAGGGGCAGCCTGGAAGGCGGGAGAGAGTGTGCAGCACCAACAGGGAACTCCCATGAAGCTCCAGGGCACACACAGGAGGAGGGAGACACCTGCTTCCAGCCTCAGGGCTTCACGCTCCAGGGAAGGGGGGACCAGGGAGCAAGCTCTACTGAACAAGTGGTTAAGACCTTTTGGGAAAACTTCTCTGACGTGACTGTCCGCAGTACACACAGCAGCCACCACCGGCACTCGACAGTAACTTACACTGTGGGGTTCCCAGACCCTGCTCCTGGCAAGGAACAAGCTCAAATGTGAACCCTCATGGCTGACTCCAGGGTCTGCAGTCCCCTGCCAGCCAGCTCTGAAAGCCATTTTTTTTTTTTTTTTTTTGGTACCGGGGATCGAACTTTGGTCCTTGCACTTGCAAGGCAGCCGGCAGAACCGCTGAGCTAAATCCCTGGCCCAAAAGCCATTTTTACATAGATTATGGCTTTGAAAGAGAAATGCAAACATGTTTGAATACATCTTAGTTATTCATTTGGTATTGGTTTTCTAGAAATGTGTCCATGTGGGGTCGCAAGTCTCCTCCAGGACTGGAATTAGGTTCCACAGCGAGGCTCTCCTGGGTCTCCTGAGATAAACCATGGCACCGCCTGGAGATTGAGGCTGAAGACACACAGCAGGACTGGTTCAACCCTACTGGTGGGCTTCTGAGGTGGGCCCAGGCTTGGCAGGGCTCCGAGGAGACTGGGCTCTCCTTGTTCCCTCCACCAGCACAGCCGACCCTGAGGGCTGAGGGTTACCACAGAGGAGCAGCTCATTTGCAGATGGTGAATGATACAAGATGTCAGCCAGTCCCTTTGAGAGTGAGGATGACCATAGCCTAAGTAATATCTTTTGGGTATGTTCTACTATTTAAAAAATCCTCAGCTATTATTTGGATTATGAAAACACTAATCTACATAAAAGCACCACTGAGGTCAGGCGTGTTGGTGTGTATCTGCGATCTCAGCACAGATCACAGATAGGAGGCTGAAGCAGGAGTATTGCAAGTCTGAGCCTAACCTGAGCAACTTAATGACTTAGCTACAGCCTGTCTCTAAGTAAAAAGGCTCTGGGTTCAAACACCAGTATTGAAAAACAAACAACAGCTGGGTGTGGTGGCTCACACCTGTAATCCCAGCACTCAGGAGGCTGAGGCATGAGGATCGCTGAGTTCTAGACCAGCCTGGGCTACATGAGTTCCAGGTCAGTCTCAACTACATAGTGAGACCCTGTCTCAAAAAACCGAAAAGAAAAACAACAAAAGCCACTGTGCACTGATTTTACATCATTTAAAAAACTATAGATGCTATTTGGATTATTAAAATACTAATTTACACGAAAGCTCATTGAATTAACTGTAACTCTACACCACTATGATCTTCTTCAGCACCCAGACTGAGAGCACAGCACCGTGTGGCCGTGTCCCAGTCTGACCTTCTGTCTTCACAGGTGACCTGTCAGCAGGGCTACCGCCCGTCTGCGGAGCCCGAGCAGGAAGGCGTGTGAGCAGTTCTCTAAATCACGCGCACACTGCTGCCAGCAGGTGGCTTCCTGCGGAACTTCCACTACTCAGCGGGTGCCCAAAGCTGTGGCACCAACACATCAGGGTGAAGACCGAAGACCGGGAGCCGAGTCCTAGCTTTAGTCAGTTCATTCAGTTCATGCAAGCCTCCCGCAAGTTAAAATGCTGACAAAGCCTCTAGCTGGTGGACAAGGCAGCTAGGTCAGAGTGCTACATGCCGTGGTGCCTGCGGGTCCTGAGGCAGCACGGGCTCGTGCGGTGCGCGTCCCGGGGCAGCGGTACACATCCCCTCCTGGGTCCCTCTGCGAAGCCAGACACCACTCCGGCAGGCGCAAGCTCTGCTGCCCCTTCCCACACAGTCCAGCTTCCCTCTGGCAGAGTGGTCGCGCTCACCAACCTCGACGGAGCCGAGGACCCCAGCAGGCACCGGCCTTCCAGGACCCAGGGCTCTGTGCTCAGGGAGGGCAGCTGGCCTGCCCTGGCACTCGCCCTAGGCAGGGCCCACCCAGGGACCAGCACTGGGCATGGGCTGCGGCTTGAGCGGAGAGGCCCTCGTGGGAGGTCCGCCCTAGTTCCTGAAAGCGCTGCTGCCCACCAGGAGGCCGAGGCCTACAGACCGCTTCACCAGGGGTCACTTGTTACTGCAAGAACCTTGACTGAAACCTGCAACGCATCCTCACGGGGCACAGAAAACACTTGTCAAATGAAGATTTAAGTCGGGCAAGGCGCTGTGCTTCCGTAATCCCAGCCGCTGCAACCCACAAGGTGGAGGCAAGAGGGTCACCTGAGCCTGGGGGGTGAGGCCAGCCCGGGTGACACAGGCAGATACTATCAGTCCTATGGCGGTGCACGATGGCCCAAGCAGACTAACTGAAGAAAAAAAGTAAAAATGTGATTTCAACAGGAAGAGGAAGCAAGCAAACCTGGGAGAGGAGTTCGCTACAAGTTAACTCGAGAGAAAGAATGGGATTTCAAAAAGGCTTAACCCAAAACGAGAAGGAAAAAGAAAAACAGTGCCAAAGAACAAAGACAGATGAGATGAGTAGAAAACAATAAGTAATAAGAGTAGATCCAACACATGAAGCTAGGTAATAAATGGTAGACAAGAAAATAACACGACAGTCCTAAAACTGCTAATGTGTTGTTCTATACCATGCACCTCCTAAGTATTAATATGAGTTTGAATGAAAATTACAGTGAGTTTTTAAAAAGAGCAGATTCAAGCCCATTCATGAATTCTGATAGCTATGTCTAAGTGTTAACTAAAAGCGGAGACTATCACACTGGACCAAAACTCAGACCCAGCTCTTGTATCAAGTCCACAAAAGACACATGCCATATGGAGTGGTCACATCAGGGTCACACAAGACAACACAGGTGGTGCTGACGGGGTCCTTAGTGACCGACCACGCAGAAGCCACCTATTAGGAGAATGAAGGGAACGGAAGCCAGCACAGGAAGATATCTGTAAAATCTCAGAAAGTCTGGAAACGACAGGACTGGGGTGACTTTCGTTCACTGGGTGATCCCCTTACTCTGAAGTGTGGTCACCAAGTGTGGTGGGCTGAGTCCTGTCCCCTTACATGCTGAAGCCCTAGCCCCAGTGTGACTGTGTGTGCAGACAGAGCTTTTAGGGGCAATTAAGATCAGATGACAGCCGGTGGGGTGGGCCCCCAGCCACTGAGGACGAGTTCAAGGCCAACGTGGCAATCCAGGGAGGCCCTGTCTGAAAATAGACACGGGCTGGGATGCAGCTTGGTGGTCGAGCAACTTTTCCAGCACGCATGAGGCTTGAGGTACAATCCCCAGTATGACCAAATCATCAAGCAAGCAAGCTGGGATTTTAATCCTACGAACTTGAGGAGGATGAGAAGGGAGAGGAAGGCCAGAAGAGGAGGGAAAAACACCGTCATCAAAAAGTATGTTGAACAGAAACTGGTTAGTGTAAGTCCCTGTCCATATTGCAAAAAATGGAGTGAAATAAGGTTAGATATTTTATTAAAAATTGTAGTTGCAGGGCTGGGGATTTAGCTCAGTGGCTCCACCGCCTCCCTCGCTGCCTCACAAGTGCAAGGACCTGAGTTCCATCCCTGGTACAAAAAAAAAAAAAAAAGTAGTTTCATTGCTGAGATCATGGTTAACAGACAAAATGAATCCCAGTTCTGCTTCTAACCACATAGCCTAAGAAAATTTTGTCTCCCCACACTTTACTTTCTTAAAAAGCAGAGGAAGCAACTACAGTGCTGTTTATTCACAAGGTAGAGTGTGCTGTGTGAACTCTGTGTGGCACACAGTAGGTTCTGTGGTGTGATGTGTAACTCTCACCCTTATCACTCTGGTGGAAACTGTCAGAGGTCCTAAGTCCTGCAGTGTTG